TAGCCTTGGCATCAAAGACAGGAGAATGTTAATGAAATTTCCTGATGCCACAAAGTTGGCACATACCATCAGAACAGATGAAGATCATTATAACATTGTTATACAGGAGGAACAGGATAACCTTGTAGCCTTCGGACCGGAAATGAAACAAAATGAAACTCACAACTGAAGAAATTTTAAATGGTGGATTTGAGATCTAAAATATCAGAAAACTGTCATGAGCTGAAGACCAGTGTAAAATATGCAAGACAGGAGGAAAAGAGAAAGACTGCTGAAGACAAGGGTCTTGTATCTTATCTTATGGGCCGTAGAGAATGCAGATGTTGTCATAGGAAGTTTGGAGGAGCCCATTTCAAGGAAAAAAGAATTGATCCTACCAATCCCAATGTTTCCTTTTGAGCACTCAGATTGAAGAAATATAGCCCTATTGAGGAAATGAGGGAAGCTAAAACTGTCTTCTTTGCTCTTGCTTTTATTGATTGTATAAGAGCTATGCAGAGAGCTATGTTTTTTGCCTAGAAGAGTAGAGTAAAATGCTGTAAGTAAATAGTTTCTAAGACAACGAAGAGAAAGAGATAATTGTTAAGACTCAAGGCTTTTTCTCAGCAAAGAAGGGTGGGCTGATGTATCCAATAATCATTCAACATCTTTGACTTTGTATGTTCCCTTGATACCAGATAAAATATGTCCCCTTGAGAAACAGAACTTCCATTCTTTTTTACATGTGGAGGCAGAAGACGACGTTGTGGATGACCTAGAATTAGAAGAAGGGATTCCTTAACTCTTGAAAATGTCTGAGTGCACAGCAGGAGGGGTTCTTCTCACCTTGCATAATTTGCAAATGAGCTCGATTTGTTTTGATAAAGGTGTTCAGGATTTAAGCATTGGATTCCTTTGAAAAAAATTATCAAACACTTGAAAGTCAACCTGGATCACACACCTCTAACAACTAATGAGATTTTGGCTCAAATCATGAAGGACCTATAATGTCTGTTTCTGTCTTAAGTCTCTAGCACTAATCTGGAGATGGAGAGACATAACAGGGATGTGCTTGTCTTATGCAAATATGTACTCCCACAAACACACATACACACAGAAGATACTATTGCCACATTACAGCCCTTTGAGTTAGGTCCAACTGCTGGTGTTTGGATTTTAGAAACAATTTCTGAAGACAAATTGAATGTTCTCCCCTCTTTGCCAAAGCTGTAGTAAATTGAGTGAAAAGGTTTGCTGACAACAAATTCTGTGTGGGTGTTATGTCTGAAATAAAATGGTTTGAGAAACCCTAGGACAGGGTGTCTTGACCTTTCATTTGAATGGCTAAGGCCTGTCAGATCATATGACTACTGACCATATATCATAGTCACTTATGCTTATCACCAAAAAGAGTGAAATATGAAAAAATGAAAAAGAAACTTGCCAATTTCAGCAAAAGCATAGTATGTTTTGGGACCCAGTCTGGGCAACTAGTGGCAGAGGACTTTCTGTCATGCACCAAGGCTTGTTGATGTTTCCTAGGTGATTAGAAACCACAACTTGGCTTCTCCTAGATTCCTTGCTTGCTTGTAGTAAGAACCCAACTGGCACCTTGGTTTAGTGATGAAACCTTCAAGTGCTGACCATGATTGCACACAGGTTACCCCCAATTCATTCTCTAGTGCAGTGGTCCCCAACCTTGAGCCTCCAGGTGTTCTTTGACTACAACTCCCAGAAGCCTTCACCACCACCTCTGCTGGCCAGGATTTCTGGGAGTTGAAGTCCAAGAACAACTGGAGGCCCAAGGTTGGGGACCACTACTCTAGTGTGTGTTCCCCAGGCCTGCTCTTTATGTTTTTCTCACCTTTTGCTTTAAATACCGTACCTCTTCAGGGAAATGTTTTCAAGTAGTATTCTCATTCCCTCCATAGTTAATACAGTGTAGTACTTCTAAAAATGACTTAATCACAGGGATGAATAAGGTTTGTTCAGGGAGAGGAGGTTCAAGCAAAGGCTTGTGGGAACTCTGAAAGTACCAGAAATCAGAAAGGGAACAGAATTCACAGCAGAACACCTTTTCAGCCAAAAGCTATACAGTATTAAATAACAGGTTGCCCAAGGGGTGGAGGGTGGTAACAAAGATTACTGAACTATTCCAGCAATAACATACTTTGACTGAGAGACTGAAACGGACTTGATATCTAGGATCCAAAGAATATAAAATATACGAGTCCAAGGAAGAATGTGGTAGTTGATATGGACATTGGGAACACATACTGAGTTTGCAGAGTAATTAGGGGATTGTTCATAAGTAAAAATCTTGCAGGGCTAGAACTAAGAAATAGAAGCATGTCAGCCTTTAATTCTGCCTCCTGTTTTCTACAGTTCTTCTTCTTCTTCTTCTCTCTCTCTGTCTCTCTCTCTCGTCATCAGTTCGAATTAGACTTGATGGCAAACAGTTATTGAAATAATGTGTCATTAAAACAACAACAGTAACAGCCAGGCAGACAATGTGCATTGGGGGCTAGCCTACTAGGGAGCATATGGGGCACTGCCTGACATCAGTCTCAGGTCATCCTGAGCTAGCTCACACCTGACTATCTGCCTCCTTGTTCACCTGAATTCCCCTTTTGTTGAATTCTCAGCCTCTCTCTCTGTGTATGCTTGTTTGTGTGTATACAAGAGAGAGAGAGACAGGGAGGGAGAAGCTGGTGTGGAGAGAGTTAGAAAATGAGAGAATGAATGTCAAATTTCCCACTTATAAATACTGATGTTTGCCATAGCTCCACCTGTTATCCCTACCTCCAGCCAACACTGGTTGCAGTACCATCAACCATAAAGGGCATCCACCACTACTATAGTGAGGTGCCAGACTGGTGGCCTATGTGGGGCTAGGTTTGCTACATCATAAATTTGCAACTTAAGTTAATTTTCACAGTAAAACCGCTACAGTGGTTGTTGATTTTATAAATGCATGTCTGCCTCCAGCCAAAACTGCTTTGGTGAATCAGACCAAGATCTGGCTAATCCATTTGCAAGGATCTGGCCAAACATCCAGCACTTGGGGGATTGCTAGATATTGGTCACAATATCCCTATTGACCTTGGTTGAACTGAAATACAGTGGTCATATTCAGAAAGAAGTACTGTGATTAGCCTTAATACCCTTATCCTTTTCAGCCCCAAGATCTACTATTTATATATATTTAGTGTATCTCTCCCTGCCCCCTCTCTAATTGTAGAAAATGGCAGCAACATGTCTGGTGCAATATATCTTGGATCAGTGACCTAGAGGAGAATGCATTGGATCCAACTTTTTAAAATTGTATCTAATGATATTTTATGATTTTGTAAGCTGCCCCAAGTAGACGTTGTCTTAGGGGGGGGGTATAAATCGAATGAATGAATGAATGAATAAATAAATAAAACTATGTTTTAAAAAAATAAACTTAAGCATTTGTTAATCATTAGTCTGATTGCCATAACTCATCCAAAGTGGAATCCAAAACTCTTAATGTATTGGTGGGTTAGGAAACCTTTGGCCCTTCATATTTTTTCAGATCTAACACCTCCTACAATCTCTTGCCATTGGCTATACTGGGTGGAGCTCATGGGAATTGTAAATCAGAATGTCTGGAGGGCCAAAGGTTCCACACCCTGTCCTAATCCATTCATTCACACTGTAATCCTACAAATTCTAATCTCTTGGGTTAAGGAGGTCAGTGAGACTCAAGAAGGAGTGAACTCTGGATCTCTCTGCCTGAAAGGGGCTACTTCCTCAGTAAGATTACCCATCTCTAAAGAGGAGACAACCGCAGGCTAGTAGGATGGTGTGTGACCAAAACAGATGGGAGGAGGATGACAACCATTAATTCTAAATGCTATTTGTGGCTTCCTTGAGACAAACCTGTTGACACAGTAATAGGCAGCCCACATTTCTGCTTTTCCTGTTCTACTGGCTCTTTCAAGAGAGGGCTGGTGTGCCATTGTACAGAGTCATTCAGATGAGATATAGGGTGAGACTATCAAGCAAGACTATAAGAGGTATTGGAATAATGGCTCTGGGGAAGTTTCACTCCACACTGATAGTCCATCTCTGAACTCTGGAGTCTGAAGTGTACTCCTTTCCTTCAAGTGTTTCAGCCTCACAACAGGGGGACTCTGTTCCCAGGCGTGCTTTTGTTTTGTAGAGGAAATTCTCTTGCACCCATGGCCTTGAAGTATGTGGTTCTCGGCCTGAAGATGAACTGTGCTCCAAAACCTCTTTACATTATCTGTAATTCTGCAGTTCCTCCCTCAGAATGGTTCCTGCTTAGAAGACATATGCTTGCAGTAAAATTGACCAAATTAGTAAGATTTTAAGGAAACAAAAATATTCTGGCTTCTTCCTTAACTCAAACTAGCTGAACAGCTTTATGGTTGCTATAGTTGATCCAGCTAAACATTTTCCCACTTCTTCATGTTTGATATTCCAGGGACCTCTTCTCTTGCTCATGAATGCTAATTTATGCGCATATACCTACACAACAAACACATTTTCTTGTTTCCCCCCTTTATTCATGGAGCTGGAGTGGAGAGAGGAGAAACAGAGGGAACAACTGTTGGCTAAGAAATCTACAGCATCCTGGCCCAACTGGGCAGTCTTGTTAATCCGTTGTTGCAAACCATAAAAAATGAATTGATACAAAACCAAATAAAAGACTTATGTTTAAATATAGATCACTAGTGTTATTTTGTCAGGAACTGATTTGTAAGATTGCAATAATTAAAGTTAATGAGTGCCAAAGAAAATGTATTTCAGCTACTGTTTGTGTAAAAAAAATATTTATAAAATAAATAGGTCATTTTGAGTTGTGTGACCATATTAAATACAGGAATAAATTATTTACAGCAATAGAAAACCTCTGTACTTACATATTTACAAAAGGTAGCATAGACATTATGTTAAGTTATGCTCTTCTTCTGCAAACAATCCAATACACAAACTATTGTAAGTAACAGCACAGTCGTATGCATGGTTATTCAGAAATAAATCCCGTTATATTCCTTTAAGCGTACAAGAAAGTGTGCACAGGTTTTTAACTTCAATTAATTGAGATGCATCTTTACAGGACGTCACTTAGAAGAAGTTTAACATAATCTTCAGCTCCTCAGTAGGAATTCACATGATAGTGTAAACCTTTTTAAAATTCCATTCAAGTTTGTGGGCATTAAGCAGTCTGCGTGCCAAATCAATATACTGTTTGCAATAGTAAGTCTGTCAATGATACAATGGCCAAAATCAGTTAGGAACTTTATAAAAGTCATTAAAAGTTTCCTATTCTAACTGTCCCCCCCTTGGTCTCAGGTTCCCTCGGGATCCCTTTTGACCTGGGGACACCTTGGGATGTCTGTGGGGGGTAAGGGCTTTAATGCTTCAAAAATGGCTGCTGCTGGGATCAGTACTGTTGCTGGAATCAATACTGTTGGTGGAGATTTTTGGACATTCAAGGCTTCCCTCCCCATCCTCAGAGTATTCCCCAGGTCAAATGGATCCTAAGAGAATCTTAAAACTGATGTGGTGAATAAGAAACTTCTAATGAGCCATAAAAGCTCACAACTGATGAGGCCATAAGTGTGCATGGGCATATCTTGATACAAGAGGATTTGGACCATTGCTTTATATTGTTCATCCTAGGAGGCTCTGCTATTATTGAGCATCTTCTATGAAGCACTGCACCTGGACAACCTCCTTTCCCAGTGGGGATTAAGAACAAGCAGTTCTTCTCAGTGGATTGTACAGATGGTCTGTGGTCCAGGCTGGGGCACACCTCACCTTGTATGTGAGAGAGGCACTCCCACTGCTCAGGCCACAGGCTACTCGTGGCGGATCAGCACAATTAATTTTTTCCCCACTTGAAATGGAATTATGCTCAAGAGACCAGAGAAGCAGAGGGCAACAGGACTGGCAAAGATGTGTCCCACCTCACTGTAAATTTTCCAAGGACTACTTGAATCATCAAATGCCAATTTAAAGTTTGCTGCCCAAACTGCAAATCTACAGCAGTTTGCCAGTTCCTGAATTGTGAAGAGTTTTAGTAAAGTGTTAAATACTCTCATGCTGCATCTCAAGATTCTTCTCTGCTGGAACAGCATCTGCCTGCCCATCCCAGCTTCAGAATGCTAAAGAGACAATTCATCAGTCATCCTAGTATTGGCACATTGCAAATGATGGGGACCAAGCTTGTCCTTAGAGGGGACAAAAACACCAATGAGCAATGTTTATATTTTTTCCCTGTATATCTGGGCAAGATTCACGGTGAGGTGGCAGTCTTAAAAACTGTGCTGTACTTTCCAGTGTATACATATAGGGTTCTCAACTATAGCAGCAGCAACCGTGGATGTTGCTCCAATTTCGCAGACACACTCAGGAGAGGCTTCCAGAAGAAAAAGCAGACAATGGTGAACAAAAGAGTAACATTTCTGATCTGCCGCTTCTTCACACAGCAACTGGGAATGCTCAGCATGATTGAGGTGGAAGTGTGGGAGAGACACACCCTGCACTGTGCCATTTGTCCCAGTTGGAGCCACAGAGCTCTTTTAAGTATCGTGAGAGACTTACTTAAAGCCTTTTCCCCCCACCCTTTCACCTTCATGGGTGTGAGAGTGGAAGTCAGTAAATAATTACTTTGTACAGCCGGAAGTATTTCCTATTTTTTTATCTCCCCTACCTCTCCTTCTCACCCACCCATGCACAGAGATTTTATCTTGTCAGGCTCCTCAGTTTCCAGTGACAGATAACACATGCAAAAGGGAAGTCTGCAAGGCTATGGCCACATGATCTTTCCAGTACTGAGTAGCTCCTGAGTAGCTCTATGAAAATTATAAGCAATATTCCTTGCCAATGCATGTTCTATATTCACTGGCAGCTGCCAAGAAGTAAAAGGGAGTGCAAAATCCCTCTTTGTTGCATCCTCCATGTTGGGGGCAGACAAGGTCTCAGTCTCAAACTGGTTCCTCCAGGTTCTTGATTTGAACTTTTCGTACGTGCCTCCATGGAAGAGCGTGTGCTTCAGCAATAGCTTCTTCACCTTCTACGAGAGATAAGTAATTAAGTAATGGGTAACACAAGACCTGTCTTTTAAAAATCATGCTAGCTAATAATTTATAAATTCTTTCTCGGGAGTTAAAACCAGAAAAAGCTCAGACACTTGTATACACTAAAATGTGGCTTTTTCACAAGCCTTTAAAAGGCTTTGGATGCCTGTTTAATGTGAAGATTGTGTGTGTGGAAGAAATAGCAATGGTGAACAAAAGGTTCAGGTCTCTGAGCATGTATTCCACTTCTTGTATCTCAGGCAGCAGGCCCAAGAAAAGTCTCTGTCTGAAATCAAAGCAGCTAGTTCCTGGACAGACTGATCAATGGCCTGTTTAAATATGTAATTGCATCATGTGTTCTGCAACCTAAGACTGATATGACAAGGAACACATGTGCACTGGACAGGTTATCAAATAACATCTGCACCTGTATTACCCAGTTATTTTCTCAGGCATATCTAAAAGTTTACTTTTAGAAAACTCTACCCATTAATCATGTTTGTAACTTCTCAGGAGTAAGGCCTGAAGGCTTACAACCAAGTATGTAGGTACAGGACTGCACTGCAGTCTTAATCAAGTACTCCCCCCAGAATGGCTCTTAATACTACTAGAAAAGGAATGACATCACACCTCTACTTGCTTCCACAACTTAAAATAGTGCAACCCATTGTATAATTAGTTGTAAGCAAGCCTCTTTATCCTCAGTAGAGTATGCACAAAGTTATAGCCAAAAAGGAAGAGCAGGGGATAAAGAGTCCATTACTGGTGTACAGCTAAGCACCATTATCAATTCACAACACCAGCAGAAGCCTATTAAACTTGCTCCCCATTCCTAGTTTTGTTGCCTTCTATGCAAGAACAACACAGACAGATATGAAAAGCTCTACTATTTATAAAGGCCTTTCATGTGAGTCAGAATCTAGGCAAATCAGGATTATAATTAACATAGAGAATTTAAATGGGCAACTGAGGCTCTTTAGTTGAGAAAGCCACTGCCCATTTGTATGATGGAATGGTGGGGCTAACATGCTTCTCCTTTTATGTTGATCCAACATTGCTTGAATCATGAATAGGGTTCTAGAAAGACAAATAATTTATCACAAACAATACAGGTGATTGGAGTATGGGACCATTCCCCCTGATTTGAGGTTAAAATGCACCCCTGCCTAGATTACAAATTGCTCCAATAAGAAGCTGTCAGATCTGCTGAAATCTGATGACAATCAAAATATTAAACTGAATGCTTCACGTATTCATAACTCTTTTGTGTACTTCTGCCTTGCTGTAATCCCTACAAAAACTCTATAAGATAAGGTCAGTATTATCAGAGAATGTCAGGTGGGTTGTTGGGAGATAGTGGCCTGCACAAAACCACCAAGTGATTTTAATGGAAATGGCCAAATTTGAACTTGAACATTTCTTCATTTCTAGCTCTGAGACCAGTGTACTGTTGTGAAGAAAGTGTCAGCTCAGGAGATATCTGTTCAAATCCCTACACAGCCATGAAAACTCACTAGGAGTGGTGGTGGCAGCATTGGTAAAATCATTTTTAAAATAGCTCACATACCTCAGAAACCTTATTAAGGTCACTGAAAGTCGGAAGCGATGGCATGTAACACACAGCCATGTCACTGCACTATGTAGGCTCAGACACTGTTCAGATAGATTAGTCATAAGAATGGGATTCATTTACTTTGTGTTGACGATGTTGGTGGGGTGTTCGCTCCCATAAAAAACCTCTTCCTCTCCTTTCTGCTGCACATTGGGACCAAGAAACTACATGCTCAACACCCTTTGTATCCATTCAACTACTGTATAAAAATGAGGATGTTTTGTATTTAAAAGAACTGAACTTCCAGTGAAATAAATATTTCAAGTACATTTTAAGGAATTCCTACCTTTACTTCTCTTTAAACACCATTGCTGGTAGTTGCATTTTTTTGCCGGAGCTTTTTCCTTTCTTCTTTTTCATCATATTTAGGACATTTTTTTCTTATCCTGTGGATAAAAAACATTGGAGTCCTTCACACACAGTCAAGAAAATGGATCTCTTTCCCCAAATGTATGTGCAAATGATTTTGAATCAAAGTGCTACACAGACAGATCAGGAGAAAAACAGAAAATGGCAAGTTACTTTAAGTCAACAATAGTTTAAAAAATTCATTTAAAGACAGACAAGGATCCGTGCCAAGGCTTATGGGGAATAAGCTTCAGCTAATGTTCATTGATCAAGGACAAAATCCAGTGGGGAAACTCTCCTGTGCAAACCCCATTCAAATGAATGGGTTATCAGTTCTGCTTTTTTGTAATTCCCATCCATTTCAATGATTACACAGAAGAATTATCTGCTGGATGATTTCCCAGATCTATGGCAGTACTATATACTGGTAACTCAGACACTGGGTCATAGAGTGCGAACTGAATTTTTTTTTCATAGTTTGTAAGATTTCTGCAAAAAACATGCAGTTTTTGAAATACTAAACTATTCCAGCATATTTTAGAAGAGATATGCATTGTCAAAAGGATCTAAAGCAGAGAAACAGTAGGATATGTGTCTGTTATAACTGAGACATTTTGTAAATTTGGATGTCAACAATGCAGTAGAGAAAGTTTTTAAGAATATTTATTTATATAGCATTTCATAGTATTCATAGTATAGTTTAATGCACCATATTAAGGAAAAAATTTTTATATAAGATAATGTTTTGGTCTGCAAACATTCTGAATATCCTTGGCAGTCAGAATCCAAGGTACTCAGCTTTACAAAATCAGACATCAAAAACAGATCATCTTCAACAAACATTATAAATACTAGCTATTTTCTGCTGAATAGCCTTGTGAAGTTAGCAATTAGATCTTTCCTACTGCAAAATGGGAGATGTATGAGACATGTTCTCTGTAGCAGACATCTCAGACAGAATTAACTCAGTGGCCAAAAGCCTGTTGCTCAATGTAAGCCAAACCTTAACTGGGATATTTCGTCTCCCAGAGGCTAATTACTAGCAACAAGATTTCAGCCAGTATAAGATTTGAAGCAATTGAGAAGATGTTACTAGCTCTCAACCATCAATGTAAGTAATATGTTGTGAATTTCTTTTTAAATGAGATATATTTGTGCCAGTCCACTTTGTCCTGCACAGGTGGAAATGTAGCATTAGTCATTGGCCTATACAGAAACTAGCCACCAACCTTTGGGCTGTATTATTACAACCATCCTACGTTTTATCACTTAACATGGAAAAAAAAACTCTGCATTGTCCTTAGCAAATACAATTTTGAATGAACTGCAATTCCATATCACACTGCTTGTCTGCCTGAACTGAGTATTATCTCACCAAAATTATCATAAACTCTTACTATGACTTAATATATTAATAGTGTGGCAGCTGTTACAATGCCATTCCTCATGGATGGAGTTCAAGCATGTATCATGTTTACTTTTAGTGAGATGGGTACTTCCATTTCTCACCATTGGCTATCCTGGTTAGGGCTGCTGGAAGTTGTTTCCAATGTCATATTGGTTGCCATGCTTTGACCAATTCCTCTACTTTCATGTTATCACATGCAGGATAACATGGAAGCTATTTCAGATTCAGCTACTGAATCTGACACAATAGTCTATGGTTTACACATGCAGCAGTTTTTTTTGTTTTTTGTTTTTTTTGGCAGTGGTTAGAATGTGGGACTAGGATTCAGGCGACTCCAGTTCAAGTCCTCACTTGACCATCAGACTTGCTGGGTAAGCCATCTACACGATCTCAGCCTGACCAAACTCACAGAATTCTTTTGAGGGTAAAAACAGAAGAGAAGGAGAGGTATCCTTGAATTCACTGGAGTACAGATGAGAAATAAATGTTACAAATAAATAAACACTGTTAAATGTTTTGGGGCTATGGTATACCATCCATACTCCAAGTATTCTGAAATCTGGCTGCATCCAGTCCATAATGTTGTCAGGTTATACTTGCTGACAACATTATGGACATACTCAGTTCTTGTGGACCTGAATGAGATTATGAACTGTCAGCTGTACTCCAAGTCACACATTTATTAAATGTTGGGCTTTTCATAAACCTTTACCAAGTTGTTCATTTGTCATGAGATTATACTTGTGACACACTCTGCTGATGCACCTCATACGTTTAGGACAACAGTCTTCCATATCCAATAATGTTCTCAAATAATGACAGAGTTGAATCCCTAGAAGTCTCAAAGGATCATCTTGATACCAAGACTGAGCCTTCATTAGCAAAATTGTGTTAGAAAAACATGTAACGCAACCCAGAATACATAACTTCATCACAATGCTTTGCTCAGTCATTCTGCAACACAATAATTAGCTGTCATCATGTTCCTGGAGGAATTTTTCTGTATATGAACTATCATGCACATTGATAAGTTATTCTGCAATCTTTGTACTCTACCGACAGTATTTTCTCAATTAAATGGAGGATGAAATTGGGTTACTTACTGGAATATGACAATGATTACAACGGCAGCAAAACTGACTAGTGAAAGCACAACAGCTGCTGTCACAAGAATTGTGGTCGAGTAATTTGCTGCATCATTGGTCTTGTGCGTCTTCAAGAATTGTTCAACACAACGTTCACCAAAATAGTCTGGATAGCATCTGAAAATTGATCACACATATCATTAACTATGTAGTTATTGATGCACTTGCTTCAATACTACAAGAAAATCAGTCATTCAGATGAAATGATTTCAGGGTAACATGATAACAAGCTTGTGCTTGACATCACTAATCCTCAACTGTTCTAGCAATACAAGGTTTCCCAGCAGAAGAACAAGTGGTGATTAGTCTGGATGGGATGCCCCAGGGAAGAAACACCTTTCCCCCTTTTTTTAACATAGGAATTCAGTGGTCCACTAATTATACTGCTTATGGATGCTACAATATTAAAAAATTTACATAGCAGAAGGATTTCTAAGTGACATAATGAATTAATCAGATGCGATAGCATATTTGAAAGAAATCTGCCATTATACAGTGAACGAAGTCAAAGTACAGTGACTAAAACCTTGCTTTTATTGATCTTGTCCTATTAATGGCACATAGCTTCTTCTAATTTTTGAAATTTAACTTTTTTCCCGTGAATAGTCTGAATTATATGGAAATCACAGCAGTTCAAACAATTGCTTTGGGTTTAATGGCAGGCTCATTTTAATAGACTAAAGCCACCGGCAGAACTCATTTTCAAGCTTCTAAGACATGATAGCAGCTCGGTCACTGCATACAAAAGGTTATTTGCTGATATGTATTTATTTAATTTTTTTGTCTTCTCAGATTTTATAGGCTTTTTTGTTTTGGGGGGAGTCAAGTCAATTATTTTTCAAGAGGCCTATATATTCTGTTTTGCTCCATTAACTGCTTCTTACAACAGTAATCCTATATAAATAGGAATTAGACAACACTCAGTGTTGACACTTACTTGCAGCTGACTGTCTCGAGGTTTTCAATATATGTGCATTCCCCATGAACACAGAAATTTTTAAATTCTCCTTCACACGGAGGTCTATTTTTCTTTCTATTTTTCTTCTCCTTATTTCCTTTTCTCCTGGGTTTGCTATGGTTCTTTTTTCCACCTTCTGATTTTTCTGGCTTCTTAAGTTGTAATTCCCCTGGGAAGGAAAGTATGTATTTCAAGTTGCATATTCCACAGTAAGTTGTTTACACCCTTGCTCCAAAATAGTCTGGGTAGCATAGGTAAGATAGGTTATACTGTGACCTTGCAAATAAATAAGGATTTCTATCTTGGTTGTCCATTCTACCCAAGACACCAATTTGACCGCAGATATGATTATGACTGCCAGCTGCCGTGCAGTCCATGCTAAAATAAAAGCCATGGAAATGTTCTCAGACAGACAATAGTTCACCTACTTCTGAAAATAGTAGATCATGTGGTAACCGCTCCCCTATATCACAAGGATCCCCAGACAAAAGATGTTCTTGTCTTTAGATGGCACTGAACCCGCAGAAGGGCACAGGGTGCAGAAAGGCATGAGGTTTCCTCCTGCCAATAACAAACTATGTTCTACCTATTTAAATGTAATAGAGCAGAGAGCAAGAGTAAGTGTTGTGACATGTATCTTGTACCTTTAAAATAAGGATACCAGGCAGTTCCTTGGAATAAATACAGATAGTTCAGATTCACCTGTGAGTTGGTCAACACGAAAGAAAAGTGTGGTTTGATGCAAGTTCTTCATGCCTCCTTTTCTTGTGCTTTTTACATTAGAGTCATTTTAGAAAGCCTCTGTGTTATGCATTTTACTGTAGGCTCAAATTTGACTCCCATTTGTAAATGCAATTAAGTCAAAGATACTAATAACACTTGGGAACTAATTTATCACAAACATTACTACTCAGCATCAAAGGTAAATTAAGCAATGTTGACTGATTATGTTTAGCAATTCTAATGAAGTGTGGTAATATGGTTAACCCCAAAATACTAGCTTTTCAGATGGGCTGTATGGAACATACAACTGAGGAATGTTGCAAGTAGTATCACAACCGTCTGCCAGTTCAAAAATATGTATTTGTGGGATTCTGCTGTAGTTTGAACTTCTTCACTTCTGAACCACTGCAAGACATCTTGAAAACACCTCCCACTCATGGTGGTCTGTGCAAGTCTACCACTTTGCACTTGGCTCCTCTCACCACTGGGAGCAACTAAACTAACTAACTGGGAAAGGATAGGTTACAATATCATCAGAACTGCAACTATTGGATCTTGTTCCCAAACAAGCCATACATTGTGAATTTAGAAAAAATATATATCCTGGTTTAAAACTCTGGCTCATAATGGGCACAGCAAGCCAGCCCCAGCAGAGTGAAAAAGTTGTGAAAAGACTGCAGGCACCAGCATGCTGCTTGAGAACCAAAGCTCAAGGTTATCACTGCAATGCAGACGTGAGAACTATACTGGAAGTGTAGAAAGCCAGCATGGTATAGAGGTCGGTGCTGAACTATGATTCAGGAGACCTGGGATCAAATCCCTGCTTGGCCATGGAAGCTCAATGTAGAACAGCAATGGTAACTGCTCCTTACATGTCTCATATACCTTGAAACTCTTTTAGGGTCACCATAGAGTGAAACTGATTTGATGGCATGTAATGACAACAAAGATGTTGCAGGTCAACAAAAAGATAATGTTTATGTAACAATAAATTTATATACAATATATATTAGATCTACCCGTGTCACTCGTGCGAGCCAGGAGGTGAGGCTGAGGAGCCTAACGCTGAGAGAGGCCCGAAAGGAAAAGACCAGAAACCGGGCCTTCTCGGCGGTGGCTCCTCGCCTTTGGAACAACTTACCCCCTGAGATTCGCGCGGCTCCCTCGCTGGGTATTTTTAAGAAACAACTAAAAACACTGATGTACAGGCAGGCCTTCCCAACAGAAAACCCTTGACGATTCTTTCTTCCAATTTGTTCTCTATCTTTACTATGTCCTATCTATAATGTTGTAAAAACTATAATATTGGTCGAATACGATCAGATAGGCGGGATAGAAATAAAATAAATAAATAAATAAAATAAATATTAATCTAGTACTTTTCTAAAGATCTTCAGGTTAATATGAATGCTTCTCTCCTGCCATTTTATCATTATAAAAGCACTGTGAGGTAGGCCAGGCTGAAAGGAAATTATTGGTTTTAGGCAAGGACTTAAGTGTACTTCCAGCATTCACTTTACAAATTATAAGTATACTTGGAAGGTACTGTTGTACTGTCAGAGAACCAAACCTAACTGCCAACTCATTACCAAGTGTACAAAACCAGGTAAATTATTTTCTGAAATCAGGTAAATCATAGAGATTACATCTATCTACAATAGATGACTCACACCTATACATTTATATATAAGGTCAATTTAATAACACTTGTGGTGGCTCACATCTTTATAACATTGAAAGGTATATAATTTTTACAACAGCTGTATATTTTCATTTCAAGTTTAATATAGTGGCTATGATCAAACAATCAGATCTCAGCATAACGCTATTTTATTCCACCTACTGCACGCGAAAGCTAAAAAGCCAGGTTAAATCAGGAAATTCTAATTAACTGAAGATTTCCTGGCTTCTTTGCCTGCTCCTGTAGTAAGGAGTGCTGCGTCCAAGGTATGAGAATCATTCTTACCATGGCTTCCTAAATCAAGATACAGTATGTTTGTCCAAATGCAGTCAAGGTAATCAACTCCATTAGTGGTTAAAAGACTTTATGATGGGAAACAGGTGAGTTACCTGACGTTCTGCCATGCCGTAACATCCTTTCTTTATACTGTTTGGAATATCACTGCTACATTGCAATTAAAATTAGTGAGTATAGCTAGGGTGTGGATCCTTCTTCAGCCCAAGGGCCAAATTCAATTCCAGAGAGGTTCTTGGGGGGCCACATTCCAATGGTGGGTGAGGAAAAAGGGCAGGACCAAAAATACTAGCATGGTTAGTTTGAAGTTTTACCAGCAGTAACTAAGCTTACAAGACAGATTCCAGCCTTTTGGAATGGTGTCAGGGGGAGAAGCATGCAAAGCCTTGAAAACCACCTAACTGTAATAGAGAAGAAAGTGTGGTTATTTGGGGAACCCCAAATGGGCTAGATCAGAATCTCAAGGGGCTGGATTTTGTCCAAGGATCCAAAGCTCACCACACTGGACCACATTCTAGCTGGATCCTCATGCTCTTCCTCAAACCTAAAGTTAGTACATGGTGATGACGCGACAATCCTTCTCCTTGCTTTCAAAAACTAGGCTGCATGGTCAGTAGCCTCATACATTGGATTGCACTACTTGAGTTTATTATAGAGAAAATTAAAATAAATTAATGGTTCCTGATGTAACAAACCAATTTACTCTACTCACCCAGATTATGCCCTTAAAAATTTATAACAACAACAACGAAGGAACTTTCAAAACAGTGTGCACCCCATGTACACTGTAATTTCCAGATAAATTAAATTTATCTAATGTTCTCCAAATTAATCAATTGGAAACATGTTTATTCTTTTATGTGCCACTTCGTAAAAAGGAACCACAAAACAGTTTATGGAGAATGTTGCTTTAGATTAGATGTTGGATTTATTTTGTTTAAAGCCTTTAGAGATTGTGGTCTGACAGTTGTATAGTTTAGCAGTTTACCAAACTGAAATAACATAACAGATTAAGGCATCTGCCTGATGATTTCACCTGCATTCTGTATAGAAAGGTCGAAGGATTGAACTTGTTCAACAAACATGACAACTGCTTTGGTAAATCATACTGCTTGATAAAGCTAACAATAAACCATACATAGAAGGAGCTCATTCATTCCTTTTTATCTGTTGATGAAAAATGTGCAAGTCATACAAAACATATTGAATCCTGTAAAAAAAAAGTAAGTTTAATCTATGGGCCCATTTACACTATTTTATACTTGAAAAAACTCTAGATCTGTGTTGTAGTGAGGGCAGAGCTAACAGAAATTTCTTAGCTTTATTTAAATTTGTCACAAAGACAAGACTGATTGTTAAGGACTATTTGAAAGTGATCACGACCCTTCAATCCTTTATGAGTGCCACAGGCCCCTGCACAACTTGTAGTTATGCCAGTGTGTGATTAAGACATGTTCATCTGGTTCCAAATTTTGAGATGCTGTTTAAATGTACAGTAATATTAATAAAAGATAATCCTATTGAGTCAACATGATACAGAACAAAATCCACATTTCTACTCAGCCGCTTGATGCTTAAGACTTCTCTATGCTAAGTTACAGGTTATTTAACAGGTTATTTAACCTGTAACCTAGCAGTTTAAATAAATACTAGCAGTAGAAAACTTTATTGAAAAATTGCCTGTACTTGATTTGATTTCTGTGTTATTCTGTGAAGAAAATGAAAATCTTGACTTTTAAATAAAATCAATTAATTTATCTCTTAAGTCTTGATATTGTAATTAGAAAAGATTCCTTATTGGACAGATTCTTAAGGCAGACTTTTACTAGAATACATTCCCAGAATCCCACTGGGAATTTACACCAGTGTAAGTGTAATTGCATAAAATGTGGCCGTGAGTTGCCACTAATGAATGAGGTGCTGCTTGCATTTCTTATTGTGTGCCAGCTGTCTGATTTGACAGTTGATGAGAAATGTAAGTGGCAACTCACTCATTAGAAGCAATTAGCAGCTATGATATATGCAATTACTTTTATGCTGGCATATATCCTCAACAGGTTTCTGGCCACTGGTTCTATACAGAGATGGGAAAAAACATTAATTTCAAAGATATTTCTCCAAAACAATTCTGAGAAGAAATGTTCTGGCATTTGGGATGAGTAATGAAGTAGTTCAATTTGCAAATGATACCGACCGAATTATTTCCGGTGGTTAAAGCAAAAACAATGCAAACTGTTCCCTAAGAATCTCTTCAGACAATAAAAATGGGCACTAACATGGCAAATGTAGTTCAGCGTAAGCAAGTGTTAGTGATGTACATTGGGACAAAAAGTCCCACCTTCACATATATGCTTATAGGATCCAAGTTGGTAGTGATGAACCAAGAGAAATCTTGGGGGTGTGATGGGAAGCCAAAGAAAATGGTGACCTAGTGTACACCTGCTGGAAAAAATGTAAATTCCATGTTGTCCCTAATTGGAAAAGAACTAAAAATAAAATGTCCAGTATTGCACTCCCTTCTACATAAATGTTGGTGTGACTGCACTTGGACTATTGTGTACATTTCTGGTCATTGTACCAAAAAAGAGAGAAGCAAATTGTAAAACTGGAAAGGAAGAAGAAAGAAGAAATTAAAATTATTGAGGGACAGGAGCAACTCTATTAAGGAGAAAGATTACAGTGTTTGATAAAATTGTACGTGGATAGCACATCATGGACACTGCATCCCTCATAATACTAGACCTGATGGTTATTTGCAAACACTTAATGGTGGCAGAGTGCTAAGCAGTCATGTTCTGCTTTAGGGTTTCCAGCAGGCATTTGTTTGGCTGCTATGGGAACTGAACACTGCACTAGACAGACCTTTGGATTGATCCAGCAGGGCACTTCTTATCAACTGTAGTTCTGAGAGAATGCTGAGCACTATTTATTTGAGAGCCTTACTAGATCCTTTGCCTTCACAGAACTAGATTTCTCAAGATTCATTGGGGAAGAAGGAAAGACTTTGTATCTGCCCCAGTCTGTTATGTACATGTATCCTTACCCCTGGTGGTTATTGTTTTTCAAGAGAAAGCCTGGACCATTTAATGCAGACTTTAAACCAAAGGTAAAATTCAGCCTTTTCAGACAACTGCTACTTCAGGCAAATGCACTGTTCCATACTAGGAGCCATTCGCATTATTAATGTTTAGCACTGATTGATAGCACATACGTATTTCTATGTATTTGTTCAGGAGAAAAAAACATAATAAAAGTTATTCATAATTGTTGCACTTTCAGCAAAAAAAACTGCTTTAGACATAAGGCTACTCCTAACATCTTAAATTCACTCATATTCAGTTTAAGCCAACTGAAGCCTTTGGATATTATGAGGAAGAACTGGGCAAAAATAAATACTGTAATGCCTGTGTAACTCAAACTTTGCATGACTCTATACCAACCAAAGCTGGCCAACCAAACGTTCTCATTTGATTGATGCATTTTCTTTAGGGAGAATGAAACTGGCAGCTCTTTTACTCCAAAATCACATCCATATAGCAGGCTTCTCTCTATGTGACTCACAATCAGGAATGAAGATCTTTATAGGCAGAAGTTACACTTGAACATACCTCTACTTGGATCACCCACAAGGAACTGAGGTGCTATCACCTCCTTCGCATCTTCCTCTTCATAATCAACTCCTGATGAAAACACCTCAGCTGCAGGTGCATTGGGAGTCTTCAAGATTGGCATGTCTTCCTTCTGCTCTGTCACATTTAGCCCGGATCCAGCAGCATGCTGGCAGACTACAGAGAAGAAATGAAACAAATCAAGATGCCATTCTTACCAGTCAGCCAAAAGGAGCAGAGAGGTGTTTACTGAAAAATTACATTAAGCAGTTATTGCATATGTACTCTTATTCAGCAGTGACTCACTCCAGACGCAGCTACCAGCTTTTTAAAAAATGTGAATATATTTACACTGTCCCAGTATTTTAAAAATGTTTCCCAAGTTCTGGGTTATGGCATATCATCACCCAAAGTTTCAACAACTTTGCTATTTAAAAAAAAAATCCCTCATTAAGGATGTCTATGGCTGAGTAGGGTTTAAATCAGAGCTTGGAAAATTTACTTTTTTTGGACTATAACTCCTAGACTCTGTCATCCATCATGGCTGGAAGTTTCTGGGAGCTGAAGGCCAAAAACTAATGTTTTCACACTCTAGTTTACTATGTAAGATTGGGAGACAAAACACAACCACGATTGAAAAACCATTTATCCACCTTATTTTCTCATTATGTAAGGATGACATATTGGACATCATGTAAAATATTCCCATAACAATCCCACTATTAGTACAAATTGGCTACTTCTGTACATATGACAGAAGCTCCTTTTGTTGTTGTTGTTGTTGTCATCCACATCTCATATTGGGCACAATGTATTTGGTCCACAATACCTGGCAATACAAAATATTACTGGAGGAGTTCCCAAGCCATCTTATCCGATATTAGTAATTAAAATTCCCTTCCCCTGAAGTAATATTACACAGAAATTAAAGATGAGCAGTCCAATGCTTCTGCAAAAGGGGAATGAAAGTGGAGTGCCCATAGTTGAAAGTCTATGGCCACTTTCTTCAAAGTCCTACTTGAACATAATGGGGTTTGCATCCAAATAAACATACCAGAAAGGAGCTGTGAGCCCCTGCATTCTTGAATTCAAATCTTGCCTCAGCTTTAATAAGTTCAGTAGGTGGCTGGAAAGCAAGTTAGTATCCACCCATCCTCCCTGCCCCATTGACAACAGGGTGAGAGTGATACTGGTCTCACCTTGCAGAATTGTTGCAAATATTAGACAACATGAAGCTCTCAACATATTTGTCATCATCATCATCATCATTCTCAGAACCATCCTGGTGCAATGAATAACCCCTGACCTAGGCATGTGGACAGAGTCCCCATGCAGCCATGGAGGTCAGGAAGGGGGGCTAAGGGTGGGGGTCTGTTCATAAAGAGTAGGAAGGTAGGAGGAGGGTGTCTGAGGAAGTGGCTGAGACCTTCCAAAGGAGGCAGCCTGTCGTCCTTAGAACCCTCTTAGAGACCGGAGGTGATCACATGCTCAACCCCCGCCTGCGAGAAGAGAAGGTGGTTCCCTCCCGGGCCCTCATGAAGTCCAGCTCGTGCTTCAGGGACTCCCAGCCGCCCCTTGCAGCGCGCCCCTCGCCCGCCGCCCGAGAAGCCCCTCGCCCACCCACCTGTGTTCCAGAGGAGCGGCAAGAGGAGAGGGAGCGCGGCCCGCATTGAGGGGAAGGGGAGGGAGCGTCGTCGAGGGCCAGGCGTCCTGGAAAAAAAAAAGGGAGCGAGCGGCGGGACGGCGAGGGCGCCTCACAGGGAATCAGTCCTTCAGCGGCTGGCCAGGAGGGTGAAGCGCGGTGCGGCAGCGGCGCTCCA